GTTAGGGACGTTTAGACTAAGTATCCCTCATCTAATAATAAAAGAATACGCCTTGTTTTCACATTTTATTTTTGTCATGTAGATATTGCTCAAGCTTGCATCTTCATGCACTTTTTCACGACTGAATCATTTTCATTTCAGCTAAATGAAAAAGGTTAATAGCATGACGGAAAGCCCTTTGAAACTACATTACTTCGAGGGCAAGTATACTAAGGCGAAAGTCCTTTTGCTCAACTGTTGTTTCATCGTTAAATCCTCAGATTCAAAAACGAGTAAATCTTTCGCCCTATAATTCAAAATCGCCAACTTGCGTTATTACAAGCCTTAGTGCCTCACAATTTATGCCGTTGAGTTGTAATAGAAATAGTCTTTCCCTTGCTTCAGAAACTTTCTTGTCAATAACTTGGGAAAACCAGTGATGAACCATAAATAACTTCGACAGTAATTAAAATACAATATGTATTTGAAAAGAAAATTCAAACACAGGTTTATAGCAGATCTTTATTAATAAAGTAAGGCCTTTCGTCACTTCTGACGTCACAGTGGACGTATTTAAGCAAGAAGAAAAGAAAAAACCCGGTTTTCAAACATTGATTTGTACTTCGATAACAAAATTTCAACAAAATTCATCAGGCACTCACATTTTATCACGTGATTAAGCTTGCCAATAGCACTTCTTTAATCCTATAGATCACGTAGGCGTGATATTTGCAAAATCAAGACTTTTCAATGTTCCACGTGTTGGGGGACAAAGAATACAAACTGTTTGACCGTTTGATTTGGGAATTTTTTTGATTTTGTAATAAAATCTCCAGGCAGCTCGTGGCCAGTTTTTTGGTTTTTATCACAATTGACGTCATACCCGTGTATCTATAACTGTATAGACAACAGTTAAATGTTATCTATTTGTTAAATATAGCATATGAATCATTACTGCTATGAGCATGGGAAGATTGATGATTGGAAGAAGTCATATTCATAAATATGCATGATATGCAGTTTTATCTTCCTTTGAAATTTTTTTTTCAGCGGGCATGCAAATAAGAATATGAGTCGAGAAGGGGATCCCAAATGCGGGAGAGAACCTAAATTTAAGTGTCCCTATCAGTAAAAACTTTTATTTGCAATATTACAATTACGTATGCCTTGTATCTAACGTATCGGTGAAAAAAGTATTCAATTTGATGAAACAGAGAAGAGTCTTACGGCATGTAAAGTTACCGTTCAATGCGACTCTGTCAGTGGTGGAATGAAGTCTGGGTCTAGCCAAACTCTGACGTCATTAAAAGTAGTTGGTATATATTCGCGATTTCGCCAACTTGAAATTTTTTTTCACTGATACATCAAAAAAACACTTTGTTAACGAAAACCATGTCCGTCAATTTAGCATACTGACGGCACAAATCCCAAATAAACTTGGGGGAGTCTACGACTTTTGTTGTGTGTTTCATAGAAAAAATCATCAATTTAGCTGGACCGCCTTTGTTCGTCCTTTATTGGTTTTCCAACCGACTATTTCTGCATCATTCACAAAAGGTGGGGAGGAGGAGGAGAATGGTATACCACATGAATATAAATTTATTGTATGAATTTTTCAGATATAAATACCTGCATATGCCTGATATTTGCTTCAAATACATCAGACGAGGCTACAGCCTTGTGCTGGTCTAAAAATGGCATGAAATACGAAACATAGAAAAAATACTGAAGTTGATATTATAACGTAATTAATACTCTGCGTACGTAGGTGCAGAAAATGCACAAACTCTAGTTGCACAATGCAACAGCCCACTCACAATAATACGATAAAAATTCATAGTGTGTTGGCATAATTGTTTAAAATATCATGCATTCCTAACTATTCAGATCAATTAGATCTAGAAAAGTATGACTTGTAGCTAATAATTGCATGCATTTAAATATTCAATCAATTTAAAAGCAGTCTAAAACCAGTTCAACCTAAACATACTAAATTAGGTTTGTGTTTTTGGAATTAATTATTCTATATACGTAATTTAATTTCACTTACATAATAATTACAATAGACTGACGGCTTCCATCTGAAAATCCACATCTTTTGAATCTTGAACACAACCAATTATACAGAAATGAACATTTATGTCCACCAAACAAAATATGCAAAACCAGTCTGTGGTCCTTTGTTGGTTTCAAAATTAGGGTTAGTCTCGACAAGGACAAATTTGCTGTTCACAAAAAGACAGTCAACATAATGTATTATCGAAGTTTGACTTTCTAACTTTCTTATGGCATCTAAGAACTCCTTTTTACCATTGGAAAAGAAAATGCAAGAAGATTCAATTTCTTCAGTTAAATCATACGTAGAAGAAAACAAAATGCTATCTTGAAGAATATGGTAGGCTTCTTGCGTGTGTCATACATTTTTTTATGTTTCTGTATTCATTGAAATTTCAAGGGAAGTCTGTGATAACTAGTTATGCCGCCATGAAATTTTCAACTAGAGCACGTTTTCCATTCTTGACAACTGTGCAAATGATGGTATTTCATAAAATTAATGGGCTTTCGCTGTTTGTTACAAAATTCGTCAACGAATTTGAGCTCAACTCCACTTTTAGATTATACCCATTTCACGTCAAAGTAGAAGCGAAATTTTGCATCAGGATTAATGATTAAGCGTTGAAAATAATCTGGTCCAGCTCCACTGAAAATCTTGATTTCTGGTACCAAAAACATTGCAGTACCCTGATAAATGTATCGCATTCGTGTATTGGCAATCAGTTTTGCTTGTATTCAGTTTACTTGCAAATGACGAGCTAGCGCTTAAATACTTAAAAAATACCTTGTTTGTGAAGCAATTATGCTTATAAGAGACCAGGACGTTGGATGTTATGAAGTTAGGGTGACAAGTTGGTGTTATTTAAAGTAACAATCTTGTTAATTAGTGATAATAGTATTCCGCTGACCACATACCGGATATAGTGACGTGACTATAATATTTTGAGTATGTGCATCATTTTTTCAGCAGTAAAACTTGTAACTCGTATATCTTCGTTAAAACATTAAATATAACATTTTTAATTCGCGCTGTACTGGATTAATCAATATAATCAACAATATGCAAATGTAACTCACAAGCAACATCTTCTGGGATCTTTAGCCGCAAATTTGATGAAAACTCGCCAACAGTATATGTGGCGTCCAAATGACTTCCTCAAAGGAATTGACCCAATGAGATTCTTGGGAAAATGGCAAAAAATCACAAGACATATTCCAGCATTATGCAGGTGGTTCGACACAAACCATTTTGAATTCAACAACGTTTTTAATGTCTTCATTTTTGAATGACTTTGCTTTTTTAAAAAACCTCTGCATTGCATTGGCGCGGGTTCTTGATATGATCTTCAAGCCAATTTGCTGTTTCTTTGAGCCATGTTTTGCAATTAAAACAGAATCAAAAGAACTTCTCCGAGTTTCATCTTTTTAAGATACATCTTCCATTTGAACAATGGAAAGCCCGCAATTAAAGTTTGCAACGATCATTTTAAATTAGGCATAGTTGGCAGGGAGAAAGATATCTTTTAATAGAAGAGTTCTCGCAACTAGTGTTTGCGACAAAGTGACCAACACTTGCATACATAGGTAGACACTTGTGGAAGAAAAAAATAATGTTACACGACACTGAGCAAGTGCTGTCCCAACTTTACACAAAACAAACATTGGTTTACAAAACAAAAACACATGGACATCAAACAAAAGGACTGTTTTGGAAAATTCGACGTCAAAATTGGTTGAAAATTGCAGAATATTGATCATTTGCATTGGGTGTGGAAATATTTTAGTCTTCTCGTTATGATATGTGATGAGAGTTGTAGCACCTCGTTACAAACTTACACATTTCCACATTATTCAATCATTGCAATCCTTACTGTACTATTTTCTTCTCTTCGCAAGACTAAACATTAGTTTGTAATTGGAATTACCTGATACAACTTTAAATCATCATAGAACCGTATACTGCAAAGAAAAATGTTTAATGATCTACACCAGTAATCATAACATAACATTGAACTTGTCTTATTTATTGATTGTTATTTTATGACATTAAATGTTCTACTATTGGCATTTAAAAACACTTTGAGTTATTTTGTGATATGTAACTCATTGAAAGTGTCTTATTTGAGTTCGCAGTATGTATGTTCCTACTAGAGAATCAGCGATTAAAGCACAGTCACGTAGCATGCAATTCAAGTAAGGGCGAATGCATAATGGTTTGACAATTACTCACCCCTTTTACTAAATCTAAAACAAGTTTGGTGTAAATAATATAAATAACATTACTGGAACTAGTTTCATCACTCCATTTCATTTTATGGCGATAAATGTCAGAGGCTACCGACGTGTACGCAAGCCTATCATTTTTTTACTTTATTACTTCAGATGTAAGGTTGGACTTTTGCTCTGCGTCTACACTTGAAATTTAGTACATCTGCTTGAGCACTCGACAAAGGTCAAGCATTTTATATATCAACATAAAACACACATACGTTTACCCAACACAGACATTTATCTTACCTCACACAACAATATAAGAAATCCAAATGTTTATTCTCGTTTTCATCAAAGTATGAGGAATATACAACCAAAGTCAAAGCATTATGTTTGGACGAAAAATGCGAAAACACAGACACGTTTGCAAACTTTGAACGTTTTTTGTGAAATCTCTTTCTAGCTCATGAGTGTAGCTACTTCCGAATCAATAGATCACTACAAGCGCATTTATGAAACATGTTGTTTTGTAGTTTTGTATATTTCTAAATAACATTTTAATAAGATAATTTTTCCCGACGATTCTACGCCGTTGCAACTAACTTATGTTTGATCTCTTAAAACGCAGACGAACGCGCAGCTTCCGAAATTTCGCCGTAACTACATTAGATTAGAATGGCGTCAAAATCCCATTTAAAACATAGGTCGAATGCATTACAGAAACTATCCATTATTGAATAAATTGTACGACTTACGATTGCCATGGCTTTGGAATGAAAACTATCGACCAAGAAATTCCACGAAACAGGTACAATGAAATTGCAATCTACTTAGGGCTTCAATTTACTGATCATTCCTAAAAAAAACATGTATAGCGTGGTTACAGAGAGTGGATCAAAGGTCATACAACTTTCATTGTGGTGACATACATGTTAGGCAGAGTTCATTATTTTAACATTTTCGAATACAAATCTCTATTAATCATAACGACAACTTGACTTTGGGATTATGATGATGATTTAGTACCACAATAAGATATTATGATGATGATTTAGATACCACAATAATCTTTGGCTGTCCAGAACATAAAATCAGGGGAATATCAAATAACACTTGGACGAAAGTTTGAACAAAGTAAAGGGTTCTTTCTCGAAAAACCCCCACATAATTAAGGCATATGGGAGCTTATAGATGGCACTAACAACATTAATACTAACCACATTAACATATATATTCACAAAATGCGTATTTGCTAATTGCAATACAAGTTCTGAGTTATCTGTAGTGAATCGTTCAAAAAAGTTTTGGCGATTCAAATGTACTTAAAGTCTTTTTCAGACGATACTTGATAAATTACTTTCCGGCTAAACCTCAATCATACAATAAAATTACAATTGGCATCCCTTTTAGCCATCACTGATGAATAAAATAAAAGTTCAAAGTCACGTGACACACTAAGATACACTGATGGCACTTTTTGATATCTCTGCTAGATGGGTTTAATCTTGGCATAACAAGATTAAACCCATCTGGCAGAGATATCAAAAAGTGATATTTTCGCTCAAAGTGGTAATGAAGATGGATCGGCTTATGAACTACTGCTGCTGTTCTTTAAATTATACCCACAGAATATTAATATTCACTAAAACTAAAAGACTATACTTGTCAAAAATACTGCAGGGATGAGTTGTTGAGCATATGTGGCACAATTTTCAATATTTAATTATTCACTTTCATCAAACTAGAAAAAACCGTTTATAAGACTTCATGTAGTTTAACATGTAACATATCAACATGTAACTTGATTTACATTTTTTCATGAGTTTAACGTAGGAAAAATAATTAATGTTTGCAAAAATCTGTTACAGGCTTTTCTTTTGTTGTTTTTGAATTAGCTTATTGAAGATGACGTTTGCTTGTTCCATCATTTTCATTTGTCTAAAAATGTGATGACCTACAGCATATGATCGTTAACTTGTATAAATACAAGGGAGCATTTATCAGCAACACATTATTTCAAAAAAAATGTTAGTTAGCAAAGCTTTAGCGCTTTTCTAAGCATTTGATAATGTGTGTTTGATTTAGTTTGTGTGTCTTTCCGTGTTTTCCCAAAGCTAAATGCACAAGTACAGTGTTTTCAGAATGATTAATTAAAACGTCAGTCAAATTTTCAAGCATTACTCAAATTTTGATTTCCAGGGTTAGGGAAATGCAAGTATCCGGATTTTAGAGCAATGCAAAACGTAATTTATCGGCATCGTTTATGCGTAACACATTACATTTTCCTAATATTTTTCAAAAAACTATCAACACAAGTAGTCAACCATACTTGTTACAAAAGTGTCATTCCAAAAAGGATAGCCCTAACAAACTTCTGCCAAGCCATATGGCTTCAACTTAGAAGATAGACTATATGGGACATTTCATGGTCTTGAAACAACACACCATTTTAGTCAATTCTAGCCATTTACTCCAACCCTGCTCCTACCTACCTGATATGGGCAACCTGGTTGAAAGTTGTCAATGACTTGTCTTCGAACCTCTATAAGAGGAGTTTCCTTAAAAAAAGGGTGACAATATAAAACATTTCATGGTTATCAAATTGGTCGGGTTTCAAAACACCTTTCGAGCCCCCTCAAAAATGACGCAAAACTAACGCTCCAATTAAAATAGCGTATTTTCTTCTTTTAATCTAATTAACAACCTTATCGATTAACCTTATCATTAAAATACACCGCTAACTTGACAATAATTAACGTAGACTAAAATACCTAGGTTATGCTAAACATTTACATAATTGTTGTATTGATGTAGTGAGACAGCTAGTGTATTATTACTTTATTGCTGCATAAATTATTTCAAGTGCTCCATTCATACTTTAGTCGCATGATCAACCCTAAATCTTCCCTTCATCAAAATTATATCACACTTTTAAAATACATGTAAAGTTTCGAAAACTTTCATGCTTATAATATAAATTTCCCCAGCAAACAACACCCACACATTCGTTTACCACGAGAAATAGAAAAATATAGTAAACTTCCCTTTCTCGATGTCAAAATAACTGGCTTTAAATAGCGCATTCTTCATTTCCGTTCACCGTAAATTCACTTTAACGGGTTTATTTACTAACTTCCATAGCTTCGTACTACTTACATCGAAACGTTCTTTAGTTTTGTGCCTTATTCCTCAAACGTTTAACAATAACTCAAACTACAAAAACCTTGATATTTGATAACAAACCCCCTTTGTAAAAGATGCACCCAATTTTCCAAAGGGGTGCATCATTATCCTAGCTAAAGTTGCACGGGTCTCAGGCTATTGTCGATTTTTAGACTTACAGATAAGTGAGCCTTGTGTTATAAAAGTGTTATTAGCTTTTAAACTTAATTTTATATTTTTTCTTGTCAATGAATGGGAGTTTAGTAAATTATTGAAATTTTCATGTTTCAATGAAAACGCGCATGATAATACTCAACTGCTGCAAATGGAAGTGGTATAAAATGTGTAACTGCGGTAGTCATCTTCAGCAGACTCAAAAAAATGAAATGAAAAAAAAATTTTTTTAGACTCTGAAGATGACTACCGCTAAGGTTGTCGAAACGTCAGTCAACAACAACAAAAACAGTCCTTCTCAGGACTATACCAACCTGGAAGATCTACATCAAACACTTGATAATGTTTTTAAGTATTTTCAATGCATTAATGCTTTGACTTATTTCTGAAATCTTCAGTGCAGAAAGAATTGAATATTCACACACAAGTAAATTCATAATGGCATGTACATGACAATGTGAAATTTGGAAAAGTACTTGAAAAAAAGATTTGCAATTTTTAAATACTTTAAACATTAAACTTTAGGTGCAGAACTTCCGCATGGTTTGAACGTCCCAAATAGTATATCACCACCACCACCCAATTTAATGCACAAAGATTTTTCACATGATACCACAATAAATTAACAAAATTATTTCAACATCCTCACCTGTACCAAAGAACAAATGGCTCCATTCTCTGCTGGTTCACAGTCTTCAAATCAAACATCAAAGCATTTCGCTTGTTTTCTGTGGAGAAACGAGTACATTTAAATGTCAGTGGGGGAAAGAATACGGAAGAATCTTCAAGCAAATAGCACCATGACAACTGTGGCATGGGCATCTTGTAAATCAGATATGGTGAATGTCTCTATATTGATTTTGAACTGAAATTAGCAAGCAAAACAAACTTTATCAACAATAAAAAATTACAACCACAAATGTAGTACAGTTTACTACAAAACAGATAATTTCATCAAACATAAAACTCATTCCAGATCCCTACACTTAAACAAAGTTTTACTCATTAACAAGTCATGTGTAGGCAAGATGCTTAGTATGCCACAATCTAGCAAAAATTCAGTGAGATGCAAAATTGCTAGGAAGCAAATAATATCTATAATCTAACTGTTTCGATTGAAAATTTTACTAATACTCTTACTTATTGAAGAATATTAAATATATACCATTAAACAGACATTTAAGCCCCAAACTCTCTTGGAGTGGCGGCATATTTGTTAAACCAATCAATATATGTATTAAAATGTCATCGAACACCTAAAACTAGTCGTAAAAACGAGAATAAGACGTATTATAAGGATACCAAATTACAAATGGCAAGAAGGATTACCTAAAATTTTAACAACACAAAGAGCCATCTAAATCTTATCGAATCTCTAGTAAACAAACTTGAATTTCACCACCACACGCTAGTGAAGTCATATACACAGCAAGTTTTATAAGTTGTTCCAAGTTTTAGTGTTTTACTTTTGAATCAGAAAGATAAATTTTTAGAAGGATAAATCTTCCAAACGTCTCGTCACCACGTGTTCTTTTACGTCGTTGTTACCATGACGATTTCAATTTCATCCAGAATGCATATCGATTTATCAATATTGTTGCCAATGAAGTGCCAGGCGGTAAGCGGATTCTCAATATAAATATTAGAGCCCAGCAAATAATTTTTAACATAGTCATAAACAATTTGGTTTTATGAAATTTATTAAAATAGTGACGTTTCGTCTTCACTCAAGACATCTTCAGACTAATTAGGAGGTTAACAAGAATTATAGATATTTTTGTAAGAGCACAATGGTTATAAGACATTTAAAGTAAACGACAAATTTTTTTAAAGCAAACATGTTTCGGCATACTTTATGCCATCTTCAGTGCGAAGTGAATAAATGAAGTTTACATGATAATAAGTTATAGTGATAAAGCGGAAAGATCGACTAGTTATCACGTCCAAAGTCTTTTCACTAACTTTCCCTTATCCGTAACCATAGACATTGCATTAGATCTTATTTATTCACACCATCCGAGCCTTATCATTAAAAAACAAGATTTAAAACAACTTTCTTTCATTGCCACCTCACAAACTCACCTCCTATTCAACGGACAATTTTTTGACCAAATCGACGGAGTCGCGATGGGCTCACCATTAGCACCACTTCTTGCTAATCTTTTCATGGGATATCATGTAAAGAATTGGATCAAGAACTATGACGGACCTAAAGTATTGTCTTACAGACGCTACGTAGATAACATATTTTGTATTTTTAACAACGAGGATGACGCTCACTCTTTTTTTAATTATTTCAGTTTACAACACAAGAACATTGACTTTACCATAGAAAAAGAACATGACAACAAGTTACCTTTTTCAGACATACTCATTACTAAAAACACAGCCACGAACACATACACGACCTCTACTTTTCATAAGAAAACTAACACTGGCCTATTACTTAACTTTTTTAGCTTCACCTCACTAAAGTATAAGACAGGACTGATTAAACTCTTATAGACCGCATAAGGAAAATTAACAACACGTCAAGTGGCTACTTTCACGATTTAAACGCTCTCATTGACAATCTCAAACGAAACTCCTTTCCCTCGCCTTTCATAGAAAAACTCATTAAATCATATGACCATGACAAAAACACAAACAAAATAAACACCACAAACGAACCCACACCTACCCAATTCGAGACTCACTTCTTCAAACTACCCTACATAGGCTACATTTTACAAATCACGAAACGGAACTTACACAACTTAATAAAACGCTACTTCACAGACTTAGACATTAAACTAGTTTTTTCATCTTTTAAAATCAAAAATCACTTTAGCTTCAAAGATCTTATTCCCACTCTTTTAAAATCCAACGTGGTTTATGAATTTTCTTGTGCTGGATGTAATTCCAGTTACATTGGGGAGACCACCCGCCACCTTTCCACACGGATTAAAAACCACACATCCACGGACAAAAACTGACACATATTCAGACACTTACTCTCGCCACCACATTGCAAAAGCAATTACACACAATCCTGTTTCCGTATCTTAGACACCGCTCACACTCCTTTCGCCCTTAAACTCAAAGAAGCCCTTTATATCAAGAAGCGTAAACCTAACCTCAACAAACAAATACAACATCTCAACACTAACTTTGACCTGTAAATAGCTATTCCTATCTTATCATATATTTTTCATTTTTTTTGTAATTTTTTTTTTTGTGATAAAACCTTTTGAAAAACACAAACATTTTATGACACCTCATTCAGCTGTAAATAATTGTTCATAACTAGTCGATATTTCCGCTTTATCACTATAACTTATTATCATGTAAACTCCTGTATTTATTCACTTCGCACTGAAGATAGCATAAAGTATGCCGAAACATGTTTACTTTAAAAAAAATTGTCGTTTATTTTAAACGAATTATAGATATATATAGAACTTCCTAATTAGTCTGAAGATGTCTTGAGTCAAGACGAAACCTCACTATTTTAATAAATTTCATAAAACCAAATTGTTTATGACTATGTTCAAAATCATTTGTTGGGCTCTAATATTTATATTGAGAATGCATTTAGATCATTGAGTTCTCTTCATTGAGTTCTATAAGACCTGGAGGGGGAAAGGGGCATGGACCCCGTGGTCAAAACGGTCAACTCGACAGTTAAATACCTGGAATGATAACCGAAGCCAAAAATTGAAGCCAAAAAAATATTTGTCGTCATCATTCGTCATCACACGTCAGGCTCAGTCTCTCGCGTGTTCATTTTGATTTTTTTAAATCATTTGTCCTTTTGTAATGGTAGAGTTCTTGATCAGAACGTAAAAAATAACGAAATTTTTGGAATGAAAAGGTTCACGAAAAATGAATCAAAGTGATAAATCGAGAAGCAAGGTGAGGTGAACTTAGCGAATCATATATAAATATAAATATCTATCGCTCAAATGAAATCCATACGTTATTTTTTTAACAAAAGGATGCATTATATAATGCATGTTTTAACTATAGACTATAAATACAAAACAAACAGATTAACTATATTTTCATTGAAAACGTAATTAAATTTATAAGAATTTTGCTATAGCGGCAATCGATAACATTGATTTGCATTTTAAATTATAATAATAACCTGTGACCCAAAGAGGGATGCTGGAGGGTGCTATCAATTGCCGGAGGTGAACCCCCAGACTAGTGGAGGGATAGAGCTGTCTTATTTCTCCCATTTAGACTCGAAGAAAAGTCTAACCACTGCCCATCTAATGTATATATGTAACATAAAAGTGTGGCAAAGCCAGCTCACACTCACAAGTTTGGTTGTGCTATGTAATTATTGATCTGTGTTCAATCACAACAAAACAATAGATTTATATTACAAATGAATAATGCTAATAATCTTAACGTTAGCATTACCAAACTTGCAGGTTGGTTACATTATTTGTATCACATTCACAATGATATTTTTATCGGTTATTGAATAAAATAAGTTTTGTTAGTTGATGTCTTTGGCTAGTTTCCCCAGAATTAACGACCATTTCAGTGTAACATTTTTCATATGTATGAAGTCGTATTGTCAAATATTCATCAGCCACACATTTTAACAGCCATAATCGATGATCTTCTTCATTTAAGGGAAAAAATGTTGAGTCTTCGTGTTGAGGAGGAAGCAAATTTGTAGCAATCTGATTAAAGTGATTACGCAATTCTACCAGTATCTTTGTTTTGACATTTCTCTTGTTACTGAGTTTGGGCTTGCTATATATAATTTGAATATGTGCTCGCCATATTTAACCACATCAACCTCAAATTTTGAGGGTGTTTTTAAGTTTTTGTTATTTAGAAAATGAAGAAGTGATGGTTTGAATTCATTCATTTGTTTTAGAGAATAATCATGTTCTGATGGAACTAAAGGATTTGCTGTTCCAGTTAAGTTGGAAATACAGAAGGGACACTTGAATTTATTTGTTAACTTTGCAACAATAAAACCACTAATGTATTCCAAAATATTTTGGATGAACTCAGAATGTGGGTTGGATTTCAGAATATTGCAAAGCATTTCACTTTCTTTATTTCTTTCTTGGATATTGTTGTGTTCTTGGCAGTGTGAATCTTGGTTTAATGGAGTTCTTGATCAAAAGACGGGAATGATAACAGTATCATCAAAAACCTGACAATTTTCATTAGTTGATGCTGTTACTGAATTTCCAAGAAGCATTCTTTGAAGTGCATACCTGAGCTGGAGACTGTCCGGGTTATTGTTCCAACCACCTCTTGCCCTAATGCATGAGAACAGAAGCTCTATGTGATCTTGAGAGTATTTGTACGTCAGCATATACTTAATTGGATTTTCGGGCAATGTTACCATCTGCTTCACCATTTCCAAGGTGGACTTTATACTTATTACAAATCCTGAGACAAATGTTCTGCAAGGATGCTTGATAATACGTACTCCTTCATGTGATGTAATACCAAGCAAATACCTTGCTGATGATTCGAGAATTGATTGCCATTCACTCATATTTGACAATGCTAGTGGTTTCTTAAAACCTTTACCATTAGGACTCCTTAATTTTAGTAAGTCAAAAAGTCTATCAATGTTTCTGATAAATGTAACAGTAGCTTAACTATTTTGGAAATCTGACTGTTTTTGAAGTATATTCAGGAAATCAATGGCATCTGCAACTGAGGCACTGAGTGTTTGAGCTGCCAAACTCACATTCATTTTGTGTTTCTCAAACTGAATGTGGTTATTTGATAACTTGTTGGCAAGTTTTAGACCCTCTTGCTCTTGCAGTAAATTAAAAGCGTGGAAGAATTTCCATTGTATTTGATCTCCATCACTTGAACAGATCGTACCAAGAAATGCTAATGCATTTCTTGCAAGTTTCAGCATATTGCATGCATCTATAATACAGCAAAGACATCTTCGCCAGTTATAGGATGTTGAAACTTTGGTGAAATTAAGTCATAGGTATTGCCAAACTACATCCAATTTCCTTGAAAGTGCTGATGTTGGTTGTCGTCCCATCTGATGTTACACACCATATTTTCAGACCAGCATCACTTGCTTTCACCAGTGCAATGTGGATAAGCTGTCTTTGCACACTTGCAGAGGCTTTGTCCGTTAGAAAGTATACAATTGGCTGTTTCCAATGACCTTGTAATCCAAAAAGTAAGAAAACAAGGGCTTCGGATGCAACAATTTGGGGTGCATTTTATGGTCCATAATCAATGAAACACTATATTTGTTTTTGGCTGATTCCCACTGGACCTGTTTACGGATGGCCATTGCATCCAAAACCAGGCAAAAATCTTTCTTGTTTTTGTCCAATTTTGCTTGCTCTTCCAAAATATGAATTGACTCACTTATAGAACCTGGTTCACAATTGACGTTGCTCGCCCACTTACGGATTAATGATGGTTGATGAAGGGGCATAATTTATTGGACATATGTGTTTGCTTTCGGAGAATAATAGCTTAATGTAAATGCAATTTCCTTTGTTACATTGATATATCGTCTCTTGGTTGGTTTCA